ATCCATCCATCCATCCATCCATCCATCCATCCATCCATCCATCCATCCATCCATCCATCCATCAGGGAATGCATCAGGACACTTGAAGACACGCAGCTACTACCACACCAGATTTTAGTTCAGCATCAGTACAACTGTCAGAGTTAAAACATTTTTTCAGTCAAGTTTAGTTAGCTGTGGCAGCCATCTTGAATTGGATTGACTTCAGAGGTTGATKACTTGTAAACCTGTACACTTGTCCAATGATAAATTTCAGAGAGTCTCATTATCTGTCAAGGGATTCATAAGATATTTTGCTGACAGACAGACACATACAGGCAATTACATAATCTTTCAACACCATCCTTCACTGAAGTGGACAAATGATGCCACCCAACAGCCTGATGAATCAGATCCAGATATTTAGAGGATGCACTATTAATATGTCTCTACAAAGTTGCTTCATTAACTACATTAGAATCACACAGCATGTTATTATGCTTTAAGATGGCTCATCATCAATGTTTGCATTGTATGCAGAATACATCTACAGTTTATTTTTAAATAAAATCATCACTTGCTTGTAGCATAATCATACTGACTGATGCATGCAAGTAGTTGAAGAGGATGTGGGGAGCTATGCAAAAATCTGTATTATTCATAGAAGTAGGGCTAATATTTAATAGTCTTTGCCATGTAACTAAGTTAGACAACAATTTTTCATATTMTGGAATAGATTTATCTATTAAAGATGTGTCAGAATCTCTTGAACGACTCCCTATAATGAACAGTAGGAACCAAGTTGTGGGCAGTAAAGAGCTGTTAGTGTTTTTTCTTAATAATCCTTGTTCTTTATTTTTTCATCCTTAACCACAGAGACAATAGCTCCTCCTTCGTTTTTTCATGGAAAACAGGCAGAGATGTGGAGAAACAGCAGCTCAGGGGGAAGGGGCTGTATCCTCCGAAGGCCGAATTTATCTGCTGCTTATGTCACTGTGCCACGCTGGAGGCTGTCCGAGTTCGAAGACTCCTCCACAAATGCATCCTTCTTTMTCCTCGATTTGAAAAACAGATCTGGTGAATCCTTCTTGGCCCACCTTATCCCATGATGCATTGCAGGCCGACCAGAGATTTATTTATTATTTGTTTGTAATGGAGGACGAAGCAAGAGAAAGGAATACAGTTTTAAATAAAACTCTTTGATAATATTCTTGAATAGCGAAATAAATGTACACATTGATCTAATTTTGCTTCTGTTTAGCATCGTCACAGCTGCTATGGATGAAGGGCAGGAAATCAAGCAGGAGGCTAGACTGTCCAAATTCACAGCCACTTTTTTTCCTGCCTTTGCGGTCCACCTGGACCCCTGAATTTGGACACAGCCATGGTTCCGTTTATGTGATGTGATGATGTAATCATTTATGCAGTACGTGAAGACTTATGTATTTCCCTATGTGATGACATAACTTGTTCAAAATCGAACGGCTCCTTTGAACAGCTCTATGAAACAAATGGTTCATCAAGATCCAGATCCCTTCAAAAAGCCATTTATCCCATCTCTGTTATCTGTTATTTTTATTATTAGTTTATTATTATTAGTATTATTAAGCAATGTAATCCTTTTTTTTTTTACATGTAGAAGAGCTACACATAAGTTTATAACAAGTACATTTAGCTGGTCATTGTCCTTCAGGAAGAAAATAATATTATTTACTTGTTTTTTTTTAAATAAACCAAGACTTTTTGGAATCAAATCACCTAAAACCAGTAAAGTTTTAATGGGGCAATATCATGTAAAATCAACTTTTTTGAGTTTTATATCATGTTGTAATGTTACACTCAAAAAAAAAAAACATGCCCAAAGCCTTGCTTTGACTCATTCATGCATGTTTGAGAAACCCTGCAGCATATTTAGGCAACCATGCTGAGGAGCAAAACAACAGGTGGGGACCAGAAACGCATTTTGGTACCAGAAACGCCCCTGGGATATGTCTTTAAGCCGAGCTTCCTCATCACGGAGCACACCTCCCCAAACCCCACCCTACACACCCCGTCCATGACTCCTGCAGGCTCCCGGCAGTAACAAAGCAAACGAGTGAAAKTGAAAGTGAAACTTAAATTGTCTGCTGCTCTCAACACTACTTCTCACTCAGTGAAGCTCTTTTAAGATTCAAAATACCACGCCGGCCTCTGCCTCTTCTTCTTTCCTTTTTTAAATTGCTCTATAGAACAACACGCACCAACAGTACATCTGGGGGTGGGGGTGTGGGTGTCAGGGTCTTTATTCCCGTCCCATTCCCCGACTGCCATTTGGGGAGGGGGGTCCTGAAGAAGGGCGGACCGCCGGGTGCGGTCCTGGGCTGTGGGTGGGCTCGGGGCTTGGATGGTTGCCGGGGGCGGGGCTGGCTCTCCATCCTCCCTGGTGCTGCTTGGTCTCCTGAGGTGTGGCTCTTGGTTCCTGTGGGTGGCCCCCTGGCTGGGCTGCCCGGTTCCGGGGGGTGGACGGCTGGGGGGGGGGTGCACTTGGTCGCTGGCGGTGTGGTGGGGTGGTCATGGGTGTGGCTTCTTTGCGGCGGGGGGCTGGC